GGCAAGGGTCTTTTCAGGGCACTGAAATCCTCCACTCTCCCAGCCCTACATATCTCATTCAGCCACCCTACTGAGATTTCTCCAAGGACTGCTGACATACTGTCATGATCTGGCCTGTGCCAGCACGGCCTAGCCAGCCTAAGAGGCCTGGGTGGCAGTAGGAGGTAGCTAGGCCTACAACTCCCAGAAGGCATTGGGAGAATCAGAGAGGCAGCTTCTGGGAGGAGACTGTTGAACTGTGTGAGGAGAGTCGGTTAGCCATTAACTGAGGAGAAACAGGGTGTTCTTCAGGTCTCTCTCTGCGGCCTGGTCCCACTGTGGGGACAGGCTGGTCTGGGAGAGAGGGAGCTACACTGGGATCAGCGTGAGTGCTAGGCAGGCTGGGGCCTGGAAGTAAAACAGTTAGGAGTAACAGGTAGTTGCGTTAGTTTATGTTTATTTGTCCTTTCACACTGTTATCCCCTTTTGAAGCACCTTGCCGTGTCTTGTTTTCCCTGCCCCACTGTTGTTTTAATAAACCCTTTTTGTGTAAGTATTTTCTCTGCCTGGGTCAATCACGCCTGTATTTCTCGGCTGAAAAGGGGCTTGGGAAGGTACCCTGGGCCTCCCAAGGGACCATAAATCCAGGGTGGTGGCGGTGGAACCCAAAGACCCCTCTGGGGTCATGACACATACTCTCTAGCATTTCTTTGCAGTCATGAGGAGTAGAGACATGCTAAGATTCTCAGAAAACAGAATTCTGTGTCCAGGTACTCCATTCTCAGTGAATGTATGAAACAGATTCTGTACTATGTGGAATCACAGGTTACACACAGCCAGCGCTGCTGTTACTCTACGGCAGGAGTCCCCAACAAGGTCCCCTCTAAGCTATGGGGTCTTATGAGCAAAAATTCCACTTTGGTCCCTGCCACACGGGGGGGAAATGCGCGGGCAAAGTGCGGCTTTTGAAAGCCGCACCAAAATAGGCACGCGGCGGCGGGATCACACATATCCCGTGAGCCGCCGTGGACGCGCCGGCGATCCCACGGCCGCGCTTGCTGCGGCCTTTCTGGTAAGTCCACCTCTAGGGGTGGTTCTTTTTTGCAGTGGGTTTTCGGCCTGAAGGGCCGGATCGGGGATGGGTGCGCGCCGCTTCCCAGATGTTGCGGTGCAATCGCGTCCATTTGCTGCGCCCCTGATCCGTCCCTCTCCCGGCCCAAACCCTTACGTGTGACTGGGGCCTTTGTTAGCTACTAGCATTAAAGTTATGAGCGAGCGATTTGGCTACTGCATAAATTAGTTTGCTCCAGAGCCATCCTTCCTGAGTTAAGACAAAAATGTGTGAGCTGGAGGCTGAAAAACTGTGAGCTAGATCACGCTAACTCAGCTTAGAGGGAACACTGGTCCCCAACTTTTTTGAGCTTGCAGGCACCTTTGGCATTCTTACATGGGGTGCTGGGCGCAATCACAACATGGCTACCGCAGGAGGGGGGAACTAAGCCAACATTCCCTCTAAGCTGAGTTAGCGTGAGCTAGCTCACAGTTTTTTAGCCTCCGGCTCACACATTTTTGTCTTGGCTCAGGAGGGACGGCTCCAGAGCAAAATGATTTATGCAGCAGCCAAATTGCTCACTCACAGCCTTAATGCCAGTAGCTCACAAAGTGGAATTCTTGATCGCAAGACTCCACAGCTTAGAGGGAGCACTGGAATGAACCAGAAAATGTCAGGGAGCCTGGTTAGGTATAATGTCCGTAGCAATTCTTCAAGGTTTCAGGCAGAAGCTCTGTTTTACAGGATGCCTTTTAATCTGCACAGCCAGCCAGAAGCCCTGTTGGGCAAAAGCCATACCTGGCCCCTCCCATTTCCCAAAAGTGCTTGATGGCCTATAGGAAAGGCGTGGGTGGTCGGGGACCCCTGCTCTGCAGCTTGTACTGGTGTTAGGCCTCTGGGGTTTCCCTGGCTTTCCTTTCTCAGACTTGCTTTCCTCTGAAGCTTTAGGAAACACCACAGTAAAGTCTGAATGGCTCTTGTGCGGGTGGGGAAATTTGGATCTTCTGGCCCATGTGGCAGCCATTTTCCCTGACCAAGTCCCTGGGGCAGCCATTTCTTTCCCCTGCCCCCAGGGACTTAAAAAAAAAAAGATTGGCACTAGAATATATTGATATGTTATTGTAACCGTAGATATAGAAAATTCTCTGAGGCCCCGGTCACACGGGAGATTTTGGCCCGGGAGAGGGACGGATCGGGGGCGCAGCAAACGGGCGCGAGCACACCGCAACATCTGGGAATCGGCTCGTACCCATCCCCGATCC